ATCAACCCTTCAATAAACCTTCCAGAAAAAATATTTAACGATAATAAACTCCGTACTAAACCCTTTTTAGAGGGTTTATAACAGGGTTTATGACTCGTTGATAAACGGTTGAAAAGGGTTTGCGACACGTTGCACTTTCAAAAACCCTTTTTTCGTTTATTATTCTACGTTTTTTTTTACAGTGTACGATAGATTGTGTTGGCTTCGGCGCATGGATAGGCTGGAATTTTTCAATGTTTTTGGTGGGAGCCTCCTTATCGTGAACCTAACGAATCCCATCTGACGCGAATACTGAACTCGGCATGATTGAAAGAAAGGAAGACCACTATCGGCATGGCGGAGAACCATATACTCTGTGGTTTTTTTTATGGGAAATTTATGAAAACAATTAATGGAACCGTTGTGATTTAGTATGAAATGTACGAAACCTTCAAATAACGTTGGAGCCTATGAAGCGTTTTGTTCGAAATGCACTAAATCGTGTAGCCGACCAGAACATTGGAAAAGCTCTTGCCCAAAAATACAGATGCTACGCATGCGCAACGATACTATCGGTGGTTTCGTGTAAAATGTACCAAGCCATATAGGCATATAGAAACTGTCGAGAAGTTTCGCGCAAAAATTACGAAACCTTCGGATTATTAACGAAACTGCCGGTGGCTCCGTATCAAACAGGAGGAACTGTTTTTTTGATGAACGAAGCAACAATGGTTCTGTCGGGATATTAGGAAACCTTAGATCAATTTAGGAGAGTGTGTTAGGTTTGGTGGATGATGTACGAAACCTTAGGTCATTTTACGAAACTCTGAGAGGTTCAGTACATGATCTACGAAACCGCAAAGCACTTCACGGAACTTACAAAAAGTTCTGTCGCAAAATGGCCGAATCCTGTCAAATCTGCTGAACTTAAAAAGGTTCAGAAAGAGAACCATGAATCCATTTGCACTCCACGAAACTTAAAAAGGTTCGGTGCAAAAATGCGGAACTTTTAAGGTTCCGTAAAAAACCTATTTTTTTTAGAGTGATTATCATCATCATCATGTCCCTTAGGCTTAACGCCCGTTGGGGCCAACCATTTACGGGATCAGATTTTTCCATGCCCGCCGATCTTGCGCAAGGTGGAACAGGTCATGTCCACTGCGCTGACACCATTCTGTTATGTCGTCTAGCCATTCTCTGCATGGACGCCCCCTTCGAGATTTTCCGCCCATTTTACCAAATACTAGATAATTTATTAGTCTCCCATCGTCCATTCTGCAGATGTGGCCAAATAACCTTAGTTTCCTCTTCTTGATGATATCTATTATAGTCTCTTTCTTTGATATCTATTTCCTGATATCTTCGTTTCGTACCATATCTTGCCAATTAATTCTTAGAACCCGTCGGTAACATTTAATTTCGAATCCCAATAGTTTTTTCCTGTCTGCTTCTTTTAGGGTCCATGTCTCTGATGCGTATAATAGGACACTGAACACACATGTGGTTAGGATTCTAAGTTTATTTTCTAGCTTAATTTTCTTGCTATTCCATATGTGTCTCAAAGAAGCCATTGCACCTGTCGCTTTTCCTATCCTCCTTTTTATTTCCTCTGAACAGTTATTATCCCACGTCAGCAGACTGCCTAGATATTCAAATTTTTCCACGTTTTCTATGATGTTTCCTGCTATTTGGATGGTATTATCGATATTCCTGTCTCCAAATACCATGGTTTTGGTTTTATTTATATTTAAGATTAGTCCAGCTTGTTCAGTAGCTGTTTTAGTTAGCTCTATTTGGCGTTGAAGTGAGCTAGCGTTTTCATCGATAAGGTCAATATCATCGGCGAATCTCAAGTTATTTATTAATATTTCACTAATGTTGATTCCACAGGTGTTTTATCTCACCTGGTCCATTAATCTCTCGAGATATGCGATGAAGAGGAGTGGTGACAGAGGGTCGCCTTGTCTAGTTCCTACATCTGTTCGAAACCACTCTCCATTATCTCTGCCAATGCGAACAGCTGACTGTGACTTTTCGTAGATCTTCTTAGCAGGGTGATCATTTTTACGTCGACACCATAGGATTTTAGCATAGCCCAGATAATTTTATGTTTGATCGTATCGAATGCTTTTTGAAAATCTATAAAGCAGTTGTATATTTTCTTTCCCTGTCTTTTTGCCTTTTTAGCCAATAGTCTAAGCGTTAATATTTGATGTACGGTACTCCTGTCTTTTCTGAACCCTGCCTGCTCTTCTGAGAGGTACGGATACAGATGATTTTTTAATCTATTTAGCAGTACTATTAGGAGTACTTTTCCTGTATGATTAATAAGAGAGATCGTTCGGTAGTTTGAGCAGTTACTGAGGTCACCTTTCTTCGGTATAGGTACCTGTTAGCGTCAGTAGATGGCACTCACTGACGCTAAACGTTTATTCGTGTTATATGTTGTTATGATCTCTATTTTGATTTGTTACGTAATATTTTCGACTATGACTAATCCTCGTGATTGATTTTCGTTCGCTATTGCGCAGTTGTTGATGTTCGATCGTATCGAATACTCGATACTTAATATATTCTATATATGATACGATGACAAAACCTATTATTGAAACATGTTTAGCTCTCTATTTTTGGCAGACTAAATATTAGTTCTACCATTGCTACATAATCCCCAAAACAAGAGCTAACAGTACCAATATAGATTTGCCCCATTCTTCTGGAATCGTACCTTCATTCCATGCTTTGTTACAGAGTTTGTGGATTTGTCGTGATAGCGGTTCGCCCCCAGCTTGTAGCATTTCCGCTGTTACGCCGTCTGATCCTGGACTTTTATTTCTTTTCAATGAATTTATCGCTGCTTGTACCTCTGAGTACAAGATATCATGAGGATCTTCGTTTTCGGGAGGTGAAATGTCTTCAAGTTCTTTTACCATCCCGTCTCCGCCTCCAGGATCTTTATACAGACTGCTGCAATACTGTGTCCACCTTCGTTTGATGTCATCATTTGTCTGTAACATTGTTCCCTCTTGATTTCGTATGACATTTAATCGAGGTACAAATTCTTTTCTTAACATTTTTATGAGGCCATATGCTTTTCTTGTATTTCCAATATTCAGACCTTTTTCAGCTTGCTCGCATTGGTCTTGTATCCAATGTTCTTTGTCCTGTCTTGCTGATCTCTTAACTTTCCTACATAGGCCTTTATATTGTTGTGTATATTCTAGGGAAACGTTTTTTAGTTATTTTAGTCTGCGTTTTTCGTCAGCTAGTTTTAGTGTCTCTTCAGAAATCCATGTTTTTTTTGTTGTTCTTTTTGCAGGTACAGTTGCCTCTATTGTAATTTTGATTGCCTGTTCTATTTTTTTGGCATGTTCTTCCAGACTACATGTTGGCTCTATATCTTTCATTTGTTTCATTAGAGCAGCGCTGTATGATTGCTTTATTTTCTCATCTCTCAGTTGGTTCACATCAACTCTGCAGCATTTCAGTGGTTTGTTGTGCG